GAACAGCTGAAGATGCTTTATGAACGAAATGACAAAACCACAACTTTCCTCTGGCAAACTTTGTTCTGCTTCAATTAATGCAGTTTAAGTGCACCATAACTCATAATGAACCACATAGCAAACACAGTAGTCTCCTATTTAGGTGTTTGTGCGTGTGTGCAGTGTCGTACTTTTACTGCTTATGCACATACGTGACCTCAGCAAAGCCCTATTGTTTTGGAAAGCGGCTGTTTGCCTTGAATTCAAACACGCTAATCTCTGTATTCTCGTCGAGCCAGTCAAATCATTACGGTTGAAAGGGTTTGGAGGCTAAACACCTGTCTCTTTACAAGATGATTTACTAAATCGACATATGGCGAATCGCTAAACAAAGACATCACATTGTGTGTCGCTAATCTGCATTCAGGCATAACTATTGATGTGTACCTTTCATGTGCTCATAAAAATCACAAAAGCTATTAAGGAGTCTGTTTATCATTTCTGAGAGCTCACCTGGGCATGAAAGCTTCCAGTATATAGACAGATAAAGAAAAAAGAAAAAAAGAAGAAGAAAAAGATACAATAACATGTCAGTTTCGCCTACAGCTATAGTTCTGTGGGGTATTCTTGAAATATGATCATATAATTGGCCTGGCTATTGAAAGCAATGAAAGAAAATCAGTTGGTGGCATCCTGATTGGGCTGGCTGCGGGAAACTGAGTCTCTTTGATATCAACTCAAATATTCAGAGGCTTGGGCCGAGTGTTGAACATGTGGTAGAGCCAGGCAGTACGGGTGAGTATTTCAAATGATTTCAAATGACATCTGATGTTATAGTGACGACAGAAGACACTGTTATCTTCATCCAGCGCATTAATCTGCAGTGTTTGTTTCAATTCTATTCTCTATAGAATGTTGTCATTGTGTATTTGTCCATGTCTCAAACAGCCTTTGCATGACATGGCTTTGTGTTCTACAGCTGCTGGGTCGTGTGAGTTTTTACATGAATTTGCCTACGATGGCCAACTGCACATCCTGCGAATGACACAAACCCTATGTTAATGTTCGTCAAGGTTAGAGAAAGGCAAGGCCAGGGAACATTACAAAGATTGAACTGAGGTTAGAGGGCAAATAGTCTCATTAAATGAAAAAAATAGAATTTCTTTCTCTCCTTATATATATGGTATATCCAGAACCTGACCCCTCATCACTATCTCACACTGACAACAACATACACCCTTTTCCATCCAAAATCCCTGCAGTCTTTCACTGGCTATTTTTTTTCTCCCACATGAGCTCCATCAATTACCGTCACCCAATCAGTGGGAGGTCTTTGTAGAATATGCATTATCATTTTCAGAATTAAAAGGACAAATCTGATGGCGGAGCAAGCACTTAGGAGCAACAGCTGTTGCGGTTGCAGCAACCCTTCCACTATCATTATAAGATCAAAAGAGGGGTTTAAAAATTAGCTGTACCACTTAGACATACATTTTAATCCCTAAATCTTTTCAGGACTGACAGAAATCTTGACAATATGCTACCATTATTTTTCACACCATGCCCCTTTTTTTAATAGAATTTGGTACATGGTCTCCATTAGGGCACATTGCCAAGCTGCACGATAAAGGCATTTGCAGCTTTGAAAGGTTGCATGAATTAATCAGACCTACCTTCTCTGTGCAAGTGAATAATGGGTTGTGAACAAATTTCATTAGTTTAATTAAAATTGTTAAAGTCACGAGCGTAGATATATGGCTGTTGACTTTAGTGAGTTGAGTTCAAAAAGGTCCAAACCAATAGTGAACAGCGAAATAATTGGTGAGAATATTCCTCACTCCAATTAGTAACAGACTATTTTTTCCCCCCAAATACAATAGAGACATATTATTTTCACTTTCAGAAACTTTGAGTCTCAATGTCACCATGGACTGTTATAGTCGTCTGCTTGAAAAAGTGATTACTCAAGTAATAATTACATTTTGTCTGAATAATTCCAGACATGGTGAAAGAATAACTGCATACTCTTGGACTGTTGTAATTTAGGAAACAATATTCTCTGTACATGGAGTGATTTCTTAGACACAATGCACTGAAAAGGGAGGCAGGATGAAAGGACAGTAAAGTCCCTATTTGGAGATACCATGGGGTCTGCACACAAGATAAATTTGATATGAACTGAAAGAAATGGTGAGTGTGCCAGGCACAAAAAAAAAAAAAAAAGCCTGAGCATATTATTGCAATTCACATAGAGTCTGGAAAAGTTTATATAATCCCAGTGCTGCATAAGTTTGGGTCCCTTGCTGAATAAAACAGACACTCATACCTCAACAGAGTCAGCTTTTTTGAAATATTGAGTGGTATTGCTATTAATGCATTTTGATACTTCAAATACATACAGACTGTCACTTTTAGGGATTCACAACGCTCATTGAGCTGGAGAATATAAAAGAAGAAACACTTTTTCTCGAGTAATACTACGAATACCTGACAGGATTCATTTCTGTTATAGAGCGGAACTCCAAAACAAATATAAGTTTTATATTTTTGCGAGGCCTTAGTGGACATTTCAGGCACCTACATAAAGAGAATGTATATATATAATAGACCACTGCCGAGAAGGAAAAAGTCTGCGTAGCCAATGTGTAATGTAAAGCAAATTTGTGCTCATCCAGTGAGCCACTACTCAAGCAGCTACACAACAGTAAAGTATCCTAATGCTGGTCCATTGACAATATGGATCTTTACTAGAAATGCTCTATGGTATCAGCTTATAGCTTTAGCACTAATACTGTGTGGGCCGGTACAGTAGTTTATTGATAGCTAGTATTACCCCAGTGATCAGCTCTGCACATGGGAATGCAGCTACAGGAACACTGCACCCTATTTTCTAGTGATTCCATACCACTTTTTCAAATAATTTAATGCTTAAAGTTCCCAAATGTACTGGACCAGTGCTCACTGTAAGCATGCTACATATATGCTGCATTAAATCAACTCTATTCTGTGCTTTGTATTCTATTTTTTAGTGGCAAAGAATACAACTTTTTTAAAAAAGCATGCAAAATAATAGAGAAAATGGAAAGGCTGCCGCATAGAATAGGACATTTAAAAATTACATTTAAAAAAAAAAAATTCATAAATACCTTCCAAAAGTTGTTCAAATGTCCACCTGCAACATACCTCACTGGTAGTCCAGTGTCCCCATTGGTGCCTCTCAGGCTTTAGGTGGCCTAAATGCCCCGCTGGTTAGCAGAAGTGCCGCCTCGGTGTGTCCTAAGGGAAACATTGAATTTTATTACCAGCTATAAACCTATCCATATGGACGTAATTGTTCCTTTTTGATATTCTCCCTTCACAGTCTATTGATACCATTTGGTTTTGCTAAGTATTGGAAATAAAACCCTGTCAGAGCACCTACTTGCATGTAGTGGTAGAAACCAACTGAAGACTAAAGGCTTAGGTAGCCTACTGAGACTGCTTCCAAGATGAGTACTGTAGTATAAAATACAATCGATGGTAAATATAATTCGAAGGTACTTCTATGTCTGTATTATGTATGCTTTATACTACAACTAGCTTACTTTGCAGATCAATATTTCGCACACAAAACATTCAATCAGCTTTTAGATGATCTAATCCTTATTGCTTAATAGACAATAGCTCAACCTGGACTGTTAAATCATAAAAAAATGAAATAAAATCTGCTTTCATTCTAATGCATTGGCAATATCATACAGGCAGTAACAACAGTGATAACAATTTCAGTAATGACACTTAATTAAAAGCCAATTTGTTGCAAATATGCATCATTTTAAAAGTTGAACTCGCTAATTAAATGTATAAATATGTGATGTTTCTGTGACATTTTTACTAAATTCAGGAGGGAAAAAGCATCTGAATAGTTTTTCCATCGCTGCTGGAATTCCAGAACACTAGAAATGCAGCATGTAATATCTGATTGAATTCTAGTGTGGTGAAAGTAAAAGCACCACTGTGAATAAAGTAATACTGTGGAAAGATGTCAGTAAATTCTAGCAATTATTTTTAACAGAAGTATTACTTTTTCCAATACGTGGAATCTGTACAACAACCAAGTACGACTATAATGGAAATTATAATAAGCAGATGGAGTCACAAGCCAGTAATGAGCCACACATCTACAATGCATAGAGTTAATGAGGATGTCAATGCTGCATGCATCTTCCTGAAGGGCTCGGCGAAGTTGGTGGACATTTTTGGGGAACAGTACTACCTTGTTGGACATGTCCATAAGAACAGAACTTGTGTCGGTCGTACTATGCCGTCTGAAACAATTTTCTCACGACAAATGGCGGCGATGTGAACATTTAAGTGCCTGACTAGGGCCCTATCTGACATGCCAGCATCCAGCATGCCAAAGGCCTCTCCTTGTCTTTGTCTTGTCATCTGTGACATTGTCTCATTTGAACAAAGCCACCATTTTAAGTTGGCCTTTTATAGTCACTGGTCAAAAGAGCGTCTGTGTGCTGGTCACGCAATCTGATCATTGTCCTCTAATGCCAAACCTGACTAGCATGTGGATTAACTCAATGGTTGGGAATGTGTCACCAGTTGAACAGCTTTTTTTTTAAAAGCATTTTTTCTTTGTGCCTAAATGGTTACATATAACCATTTTCTTACCATGTAGAAATCAGATCTTTAACTGTAGCTCTAAGTCATGAAAAAAAAGACCAGGTTCATATTTTTGTTCAGAGTATGTTTAGCCTAAATGTGCATTTTGCTAAAGCCACCATCACTATCCTGTTGCGTTGTTGGTGATACACCGTTTGTGTTCATTTCACCTCTTATCACAGTCGTCCTTTTCCCACCACCGGCGAGGATGTTCAATCCCTGATTCCCTGAGGATATCAGCTCACATATGGACACATTAACTACAGTCCACATGACATGATCATCAAGACGTCTGAACTTTGCGCAGACGCAGACGTCTTGGCCGCGTGGTGACGTCGACAGGACCACGTGGGTTTGTTATTGCAGGAAGTGAAGATGGCGGATCAGACGTTACTCTCCGAGTCTGTGCTCGGATGGTCTATTTTCACCATTATACTCTTGGTAAGCGAGCATAAAGTTGTGTTAGTATGTTCGTAAAGTAGTGTAGCGTTAGACGGTTGGTTTGAGACGCGTTAGCAGGCGGACAGGTGGCTTAAATACGGAGTTACCCGGTGCGACATGGCTGCGGCGTATTAACGTCAACACTGGCTTTGGATTGGTTTTAGCTAACATTAGCCGTGACACACTTACAGGCGGCTGTTCTGTGAGAAGCGCTCAGTGTCGTATTTAATACTTTTTAAAATATATATGTGTATTTCATACTGTTGAAACAGTGTCAATATAAACCACAACTCCGTTTTAGAATTGGGGACGTTGCATTATTAAACAAATGATCTCGATTTCGTTTTCTTTATGATAGCACGCAGCTGCACTGTGTCGTAGTTTGTTTGTTAGCTTTCACCACAAAATAATTTAAAGCTGCTGAGAAGGGGAATGGGCGCTATTCACCTTTTGACTCTGATGTGTAACCTTGTTTTTTTTTTCTTCAATTTGTGATCCATTTACCAGACTGATAGTTCAGTACCAGGCTGCTGTCTTCAAGTTGCTCAGCTCGGTAATCTGCGGCCCAATTTAGCCCTCATTATCTCAGCTGTCATTTATAGTCACATGGCTAAATAAGTCAGAAGCCTTCCAGAAGAATGCCTGGATGCCAATAAAGTGCTCTGGTTCTCTGCCCGCCACTAGCAACCCCTTTTATTTGAACAAACCTTTCAATAGATCTTATTTGGATGCAAAGCCCGCGTCATTACCTGGCAAAACAAGCAGCCAGAGGCTTAAAGCTGCGGGCCTTTAATTGATCCTGTCTGTGAATGGCAGCCCTTGATCTGAAGGGGCAAGTATTTGCAGTGTCCTCACTTCTTCCAGCTTGTGTGCCTGGAATATAACCTTGTCATTTTGGATTTTGGGGCCCCTTTTTTTGCATGTTTGTCAAAAAAGTTTCCTGTCCATTACAATGTCAGTCCCTCCATTTTGCCTTTTAGTGTCAAACAGCAACAAAATAGATTGCATTCATTAAATCAACAATAATAATAATAATAACTCAGCACTACATGTCTTTCCAGTAGACATGTTATTTCTACTCGTATAAAATGTCCACTTTATGTTATTTCTTCTCAGTTCTTAACTATCTAAATGAGAGTGTGATATAATCAGATCGGCGGCTCCATATCACCTGTAGTCAGGCTATTTTAAGTATATTCTAAGTATATAATCCCCTACTTGTTGCGTTAACACTTGGGTTTCAGTACTTTTTATATATATATTTTTTGCAGTCAGGAACACACACACACACACACACACACACACAGAGCAGTTTTGAACAAGCATAATATAACACAATACTGTGAACACAGTGTGGTAAAGTTCAATTAAATCTAAAACTGTGATAGGGATCAATGAAAGCTACTCAAAGGTATAATTTGTTGTATTATATCTATGTGTGTTGCTTGATTCTTTTGTGGTTTAAGGTGTTAATTCTGTAGTTATTTCTTTCTTTTGAATTCAGTTAGTCTCATTAGCTTTTCAGAGTGTATGTGGAGATGCAAAGTTAAAAATAACACTTTAATCTCCTCTATGTCATTTGCATCTCGTGTCCTGAATATAATCCCTTAGTTTTAATATTAATATCGCGGGCTTTACATTTGATAGATCTTCTCACTGTTAAATAAATTGTTTACCTACTCCTCGTTTTAGGACAGGAGGAGCAGGACATGATGATATTATTCACTGTTTGTTTTATCTTAATTACTGCTTGTTTTCGTTTAGGTAATCCTGGCTTTCTGTTGGATCTACATTCGGAAGTTTCAAAGTCGACAGGAGAGCGAAGTTGTCTCAACTATCACAGCAATATGTGCACTGGCCATTGCCTTGATAACTTCTGCACTTCTGCCAGTGGACATATTCCTCGTTTCATTCATGAAGTACCCCAATGGCACCTATAAGGTTAGTATATCTTCTGCTTCATCCCAAAATCAGTTTGTGAAAGTTGACAGTCTTTCCTGAGGGAGCCTTTGACTTTGCTTTGTAGTGTTCTTAGACATTGTTTTTGTGCGTTCTGAAAGCTGAACGCATATCTTGGTCTAACTTTTTTGGTGAAGTTGTTTCATTCGATTATATTGATTTGAAGATTTAGCAAAGTGTGTAATGATGTCTTCATTCGAACAGCAGGCAATTTTTCGCTTTGTGTGGGTCGTGAGCTGCTTTGATTGCTACGGGGTGTTTGTTTTTTGTACCATGTAGTCATGGTAGGCTGTGCATGTTAATTCATTAGGAACATAATCCTTCACTTACTTAATCAAACATTTCTTGGTGATTACACTATCCTAAAAAAAAAAAAAAAAAAAAGAACTCGCACAGAGGCACGAAAGGAAGTTTTGGCTGTCTGCCGAAATATTCATATTAGTTTTTAATGCGAAACAATCATTTGAGCTTTTCTCAGTGCTGTGAGAATTATGACACCGCACAAACTTATGAAAATCACACAAACATTTTCCTTTAGGCTGCTGATGTTGAAAAAAATCCACAGCTTTTAATCTCTTGCAGTTTTTCACAGTTTTTTTTTTCTTCTTTTGTCATTTGGAGCCTCATTGTTCAAGTTAAATGCAAACATTTGAGGGGAAGTTTCACACATCTACATATGAATAAAAACAGATTTAGAGAAAGGTCTGTCTGCTTTAAGCTATTCCCCTCAGTTTTGCATCATTCGCTGTTTATATCAGAATTCAGTTTGTGAACCTTGATAAACAAAGCTGTTAGAGCAGTACTATAGCCTACATACGTTACTAACCTGTTGGGCATGTCCTAACCCTGTCCACGGTATTGGACTTATTTATCAGTGGATTATGGTTTAATTTTTACACTGTAGTTTATGCTTATTATAGTTGTTTTAATGAACTTTCATCCACTTGATGCCTGTTTTTGTTAATTGTTCTAAATATGTCAATCCTTTCATTGATGAGCTTCATTTTTACAATGGACTTTTCTCTTGGTTACATCCAGGAATGGGCAGCAAACAATGTTACGAGAGGTCAAATTGAAGACACTGTGCTGTACGGATATTACAGTAAGTGCACTCTCTTAATGTTAGTTTATATGGATATTCATAGAACAAAGTGAGAAAAGTTATTAACTAGACACAATGATTTACTGCAGAACACTGAAGAAATTAATCTTTCTGTGAATTAGTTATTTAGTTTTAAATGTTGGTATTGAATTTGGCTGTTTTTCATAAATTATTATAAGTGTGCTACGTCATCCTCCTGAGATAATAACTATCTCCTCTTTGAATTGATGGTAGTGCCAGTTCAATTGTATTAACACCTGGGGCCTGACTCACCTGCCTAGAAATCCTCGAGGGTTAACAGTCTGACTCTGGGATTCACGCTGGCTCTTTGTTTCCCACAGTGGTGACTCATTCACACAGGATATCTCTATAGATCTTTGTTGCAACTTTGGCTGCACATCTTATCTGCTCCAGAGCAGTTTCATTCAGTATGTTCCGTATAAGTTTACGGTATATAGGAAGCCCATATAGGCTGATTTTAGAGATACTCCAGCTTTGATAAAAGACATTTCCCTCTAATCAAAAAACAAAAACAATGATTTGAAATGGATGGCACTAATGGTATATGTTCCACTTTACAATGTGTTTCTCTTTCACTCATTAACACACACACACACCGGTGGTGGCAGGAAACCATATAGGGACCTATTGATGACAGTTATGTTAAAAGTTAGAGTGAAAAGCCCTTTTCACAGGTTTATGTTGTTAGACAAAGCTGGTTGTTTTTCATAGTAACAACATAATAACATATCAAATATGTCAAACTGTGTTTCTGGGCAAATTGCCCACTTTGGTCAATAAATTAAGTTCAGTCTGCGAGCAGGTGCCTTACATTAGTCAACTATAGCAGTCAATGATAAATAACATTTCTTTCTGTTGCTTATTAATTGTGTTTTCATATGTTTGTTTACATAACCTTGTAATTCTTTTAAACCATATGATTTTAACATTTTAAGTGTTTTTGTTTTTTACTCAATTCAGATATTTGTTTATTGTCAGTGTGTTTACATTAATAATATATTTTCTTTGTTATGCTTTTGTATCTGTGCTGCTCTAATAGCAGCAATTTCCCCATGGGGACCAATGTTTCATCCTGTATTAAGTGTGCTGCTTTGCATCTGTTGACGTTGTATGAGGCTGCTTGTTTGTTACTAAGTCTTCTGCCTTCTTGTGAAGATGGGAAGGGCAGAAGAGGAAAATCCTGTGTGTACAAGTTAATAACCATGTTTCTAAAACTGGTTAGTTAGAGTAACACATAATAGTCTATCATTCTTACAGGTTGAAGTAGACAGTTGTGAGATTTTTGCAGCAGTAGCTGTGCACTGGGTGATATTTCCTTTCAGAACTTCTTACATTTGCCTTCTTGGCCTGTGATGAAGCAGGTAGAATAAGTTACAGTTGAAACCAGAAGTTTACATACACTGTATAAAAGGACACATAACTGTTTTTTTTTTTTCTCACTGTCTGACTTTAAATAAGACTAAGCTTTTCCTGTTTTAGATCAGTTAGGATTACCAATATTAGTTCTATTATTGAATTTCCCTTCTGGGATAAATAAAGTATTTTTCATTTCATTTCATTCATTAGCTAAACGTCAGAATAATGACAAAGAATTTTTTTAGAGATTTTTTTTTTTACTCAGTCGAAGTCAAAAGTGTGCATACACTAAGATTACTATGCGTTTAAACTATTTGGAAAAGCCCAGATGATGCTGTTACAGCTTTGGAAACTTTTGATAGGTTAATTGACAACATTTGAGTTAATTGGAGGCAAGCCTGTTGATGTATTTTAAGGCACTCCTCAAACACACTGCTTCCTTTTGTGACAACATGAGAAAATGTAAAGAAATCAGCCAAGATATCAGGAAGAGGATTGTGGACTTCTACAAGTCTGGTTCATCCTTGGGTACAATTTCCAGATGCCTGAAGGTTCCACGTTCATCTGTTCAAACAATTGTATGCAAGTATAAACACCATGAGAATGTCCATCCATCATACTGCTCGGGAAGGAGACGGAGAGATGAAGTGTTTTGGTGCGAAATGTACATAACAAGACCTTGTGAAGATGCTGCTAAAGCTGGTACGAGAGAGTCATTGTCCACAGTGAAACGAGTCCTGTACCGACATGGGCTGAAAGGCTACTCAGAGAGGAAGAAGACATTACCCCAAAAGCAACATGAATAAGCCAGATTACAGTTTGCAAAAGAACGCAGGGAAAAAGACCTTATTTTTTGGAGACATGTCTTGTGGTCTGATGTAACTAAAATTGAACTATTTGGCCATTATGGCCATTGTTATATTTGGAGGATAAAGGGGGAAGCTTGCAAGCCTCAGAACACCATCCCAACTGTGAAGTACGGGGGAGGTAGCATCATGTTTTGCTGCAGGAGGGACTGGTGCACTTCACTAAATAGATGGCACCATGTGGAAAGAACATTATGTGGAAATGTTGAAGGAACATCTCTCAAGACATCAGCCAGGAAGTTAAAGCTTGGGCGCAAATGGGTCTACCAAATGGACAATGACCGTAAACATACCGCCAAGTTAGTTACAAAGTGGCTTCAGGACAACAGAGTCAATGTTTGGGAGTGGCCATCACAAAGACCTGATCTCAGTCCTGAAGAAAATGTGTGGGCAGAGCTGGAAAGGTGTATGCAAGCAAGGCGGCCAATAAACCTGACTCAGTTATACCAGTTATGTCAGGAGGAATGGGCTGAATCCAGAAAACTGTTGTGAGAAGCTTGTGGAAGGAAACCCAAAACATTTGACCCAATTCATACAGTTTAAAGGCAATGCTACTAAATACTAAGGAAATGTACGTAAACTTCTGACTTGGATGAAAGTAATAATAAAAAAAAATCTCTAAAAAATTTCTCTGTCATTTTTCAGGTGTTTGGTAAATAGAACTAATTTTGGTAAACTGAGCTGACCTAAAACAGGAAAAGCTTAGTCTGATTTAATGTCAGACAGTGAGGAAAAAAAAGGTTGTGTCTTTTTATAGAGTGTATGTAAACTTCTGGTTTCAACTGGATATCTCTCCAATTTTGTGTATAAAGTAAAGGCAGTAACAGTAGTCATAAACAAAATGATATCATGGCATGGTTGTTCCTCATGAAAACTCTATCGTCATAGACAAAAACATAATAATTGTGGGCTTTTTGCCGACACATATATTGATCCTTAAAGTGCCTGCACACCCACAGTCTAACCTGCCTAATTATGTCTCATCTGATTGCTTGATGCGCAGACTGTGCTTGATTCATGTTTGTCCTAATCCACTCTTAGTTTTGTTTCTCACCTTTACTGTTTTAATAGATGAAGTTTGTTGGTTTGCCTTTATTTCGTCTTCCAAATACTACAAATTAGGGAAAACACACACAGTGTGCATAATAGGGAAATCTACAATGAAGAAAAATATGAATGCAGCATGCTCTGCTTTTCTGACTCCACACAATTCCATTGTTAATTGAAAAGGGTATCATTTAGCCAATTGTGTACAAACGTTTTTTGAGCTTTTCCTCTCGTGACAAATTCTCAACCACTGACTTAATCTATGCTCTCGCCAGGTGTGACGTTAAAGGGAAATGATCGGATACCGTGACCAGTAGACAGACACTCCTTTGACCAGTGACTGCAAAAGGCCACCTTAAAATGCAACTTTATTCAAATGACATGATGCCACAGATGCAAAGATAAAGACGAGAACGAGCTGTTTGTCACACTGCGAGCTGGCATGTTGGATAGGGCCGTAGCCAGGCGCTTGCATGTCCACAGTTCCACCAATTGTCATTTTAAGAAATAGTTTCAGACAGCATGATTCAGCAAACAATTTGCCACACGATGCTCTGGGTGTACGTGACAACACGAGCCTGTCCCCCAAAATGTTCGACAACTTCTCCAAGCCCCGCAGGAAGAGCGGGGCAGCGTTCCACCAGCCTGCCTCAGAAACATGATTAACTTTGTGTATTGCAGATGTGTTATTCGTTACTGACTCGTGATTTCTTGTCTATGACCTCACTCTCCATCTGCCCATTATCATTTCGAATACAGTGCGTACTTGGTTGTCTCAGAGCATCCATTCTGTTTTTATAGATGCTGTGTGTTGGAACAACAAAAACTCATTCCCCTATGTTAAAGCAAATGGATAGAATTTAATAAAATATCACATGCTGTGTTTATATTTTTTGCTCAGCGTAGTTTTCGCCGCAGAAATCCTTCCACAGTATTACTTTCCAAGACAATCACTCCCCACAGCTGTGCTTTTTCTTTCAGCAGACTAGTCTCGACTTGTTTTGCGTGTTGTAATCGCCACATTTAGCTTTTATTCAATATAATTAGAACACTTCACTGGCACTGACATTTGGTTTTAGGCTTGTAGCATACTGTGTTGCACCATTAGCAGGTTTTTCGAGCATTCAGTGAAGCATCTTGGACATATCCTGCCTGATTCTCTTGCTATGAGAGCAGGTCTAGTCCCGATGGATCCGTCCATAATTCCACTATCTGTATGTGGTTGCATTTCACGAGGACAGCATCCAGGCTATTTGGCAAATAAATTCTAAACTCAAAGCTGTTGGTCCCACCGAAATTTCTTCATGATTGTTATATTTAAGGATAACGCAACTTTGTTGTCTTTGTTGATAGCAAAATCAGTCATGCCAAAGACACTAGATCTTGGGTTTTCTAACAGATGCTGGCTTAAAGTGCCTGTCAGCAACACTGTTATGTACCGTCTGTTAAAAAATGCCAAATGCAAGGACGACAAGCTGTCTCCTTGCCTAGACAGCCCAATCAAAGAAACCACTTCCACTGGCATAATGACATCAGAAAATTGGCTTTCACAGAACATGAACACTGCACGTGCAATCAGCATTCAAGGGGCCACAGTATATTTACCTCTGGACGCACAAATATAATTTAATACGTAAGATTGATTTTCTATTTTGCTATCTATACGTTGTATTAGACATCCCCCTAAATGGAAACTTTGCTTTATAAGGA